TAGGGGCACAAGACTTCATTGTTCCCCACTTATCAGTAAAGGCACAGATTTTAGAAGAATGGACAAACTTCATTTTTCCACGTATCAGTGATGGCACAGAGTTTAGAAATGGGTGGCACAAAACTTGAATAAAAGAGTCATTTAAAAGGAATTTTTAGGGAAAATTTGCAATTAATCAAATATTTATACAATTTAACAGAAAAGAATGGGAAAATCTCCAGGGGAAAGTGGAACAAAATTTTTTTCCCCAAACCCATGCATGTTGTAAGATCGATAAAAACCCCCTTTCGTATACATTGTAAATTGAAAAGAAAACTTAAATTTTTTCTTTTGATCACCCTGCTTCAGGGGTACACAGCCTTTCTTTAAAAAAAAAAAAAAGAATCTTAATTTAAATAAGTAGGCATGTTCAAGAAGACTATTCTCAAAATATTTTTTAAAAAAAAGAATTTAAAATGTAGTATTCAAACAAATAGAACTTTGAAAATGAGTGAAAGTACGCTGAACATTTGGGAGCAGGAAAAAACAGCAGCAAGAGAACAGTTAACAGCTCTACAAGGGAAAGACGGGAAAATTTGCTGACTGTCTACACAGGGGATCTGGTGCACTCAGAGATGCACGAGAGATTTTCCACCCAAATAGAGAGATTACCAGCTAAACAACATACCAAAAGGGAGATTTCGGGTACCCTACCACCATTCCACTTCTGTCTTCTCTCTGTCCCTCCCTGTTCCCCCTCCTATATAACTGCTCCCCACCTTTGATGTTGTGTGACTTGTAAGTGTCCATGTCACACAAAAGTTGTTATAAACTTCCTTCCCTATTGCGGGTTTTTTATTGTATGTAAAATTTCAATTTTGTAGAATATGGGTTTTTTTTATAAGCTCATGTTCTAATTTTCTACGAACATTTTTTAAACGGGTTGTATGAAATCTGATTACATGAACCCAGTTTCATTTGCCCGGGGTTTCTTGAATTGGGTTTTCGACACTTTTTTTCATCAAAATTTTTTGGGTCCGCCGTACCAAACGGTCCGCCGCCCCCCACACAAAGCATCCCCCCTGTTCTGGTCAGTCGGGCTTTGTTTCTTGTCAATAAACATTCCCTCCCTTTCTTTAAAACTTTTTGAAAAAACCAATTTTTTTTGTGCTTTTTTATTGAGCGCAACTCCTAAATAGCCCCCCAGGGGGCCAAAAAAAGTTTGATGCCATCCTTTGATAAAGAAAACCGGGAAAAACATAGAATTCAGAAAGAACTCATGCAAAATTTTGTGGAAATTCACTCAACAAAGCTTTTCAATTAGTCGCAACATTTCATTTACAAGCCTTGTCCATTTTAGGCAAACTTTAAAACCAGAAACAACCTCTCTGGCAGATTTTTTGTGCAAAAGGTCCAGTGCCAGTAAAAGACAAAGAAGGAAGAAACCCGGATAGGGACTTGGTAAACCGATTCTTATGGGGGGGATCCCCTTCCAACCCAATAACTTTCCTCCCCCCTCCCCCCCCTTTATGTCTTTTATATGCCACAAGAGTCTTAAGAAGGTAAAGTGATATTTAAAAGTTTATTTTTTCCATTTCATTATCCTTCATATTTTTTTTTCCCTTTTTTTTTTGTATTAAAATATATTATTTATTTTATTATCACCTGGCCGATTTCCCCCCAAGGCGGGTGGGCCCCAAAAGAAAAAATTTCACCACATTCACTCCATCACTGTCTTTTCCAGAAGGGTCTTTACACTACAGTTTTTAAATGCAACATTAACACCCCCCCTTCAGAGTGCAGGCACTGTACTTCCCATCTCCAACTCAAGTCCGGCCCGCCCGGGTTTTCCCTGAATCCCTTTATAAATGTTGTTTGCTCACACTCCAAAGCACGCAAGTTTTAAAAAACCATTTGTCCCATTCCTCCTATCAAAAACCCTCGCAGCCTGCTGGAAGTCCAAGCCCCCGCACAAAAAACCCTCCTTTACCCCTCCCCCTCCAACCCTTCCTAGGCCCCCCCCCTACCCCCCCCTTCCTTCCACTACAGACGAACACTTTTGAAGTCTTTCTGTTTCGCTCCATTCTCTCTACATGTCCGAACCACCTCAACACCCTTCCCACCCCCCTTGGACAACATTTTGGGTAACCCCCGCCCCTCCTCCTAATTTCCCAAACTACAATTCCTGCATTATATTCCACCACAACATTCCCCTCAGACAACACCCCACTGCCTCCAGCCTTCTCCTCCTGAAAATTCATCACCCACGCTTCACACCCATAAAAGCTTTGGGAAAACTAACTCTCATACATTCCCCCTTTGCCCCCAAGGACAAATTTCTTTGTCTCCACAGACTCCTAAGTGCACCACTCACTTTTTTTTCCCTCATCAATTCTAGATTCACCTCCTTTCATGACCCTCCGCTGACACGTCCACTCCCAAATATCTGAATACATCACCTCCTCCATACTCTCTCCCTCCAATCTGATATTCAATCTTTCATCACCTAATCTTTTTGTTATCCTCATAACCTTACTCTTTCCTGTATTCACCTTTAATTTTCTTCTTTTGCACACCCTACCAAATTCATCCACCAATCTCTGCAACTTCTCTTCAGAATCTCCCAAGAGCACAGTGTCATCAGCAAAGAGCAGCTTGTGAAAAACCCCACTTTGTGTGTGATTCTTTATCTTTTAACTCCACGCCTCTTGCCAAGACCCTCGCATTTACTTTACAACCCCATCTATAAATATATTAAAAACCACGGTGACATCACACATCCTTGGGCTAAGGCCTACCTTTACTTGGAAAAAATTTCCTTCTTTCCTACATACTCCTAACTTTAAACCACTATCCTCGTTTTAAAAAATCTTCACTGCTTTCAGTAACCTACCTCCTACACCCCAAAACACTTGCAACTCGCACATTTTCCCCCATCCACCCGTCATATGCCTTTTCCCCCAAACCATAAAAGCCCCAAAGACCTTCTTAGCCTTATCTAAATACTGTTCACTTATATGTTTCCTGTAAACACCGGTCCACACACCCCTACCTTTCCTAAAGCCCCTTGTTCACTGCATCCTATCTCCGTCTTACTCTTAATCTTTCAATTATAACTCTACCATACACCTTTTCCAGGTCCTCAACAGACTTATCCCCTAAATTTTGCACTCTCTTTATCCCCTTTGCCTTTATACCCAAAAGGAACTATGCATGCTCTCTGCCAATCCCTAGGTCCTTACCCTCTTCCATAAAATTTATTAAATATTGCACCAACCACTCCAAAACATATCCCCCCCTCTTTAACATTTCTATCTTAAACCATCAATCCCCCGCTGCCTTACCCCTTTCATTTTACCTAAATGCCTCACGAACCCTTCCCCCCCCACTCACAACTGCCCCTTTTCCCCACTCCTACAAGATGTTTTCCCCCTTGCCCTTTAAAACACGAAAAACACAGCTTCCCTATCTTCATCAACATTTTTAAAAATTCCTCAAAATATTCCTCCATCTTCCCCAAAACCTCAACTCTCCATTTAATAACTCTCCTCTCCATTTTTAACTGACAATCCATTTGTTCTCTAGGCCCTTTTTTAACTTGTTAATCTCACCCAAAACTTTTTCTTATTTTCAACAAAATTGTTATAACATTCACCCAAATTTTCTTTCCTCTTTTTCATTGCTTCAACCCCCTCTCTTAACTTTCTTCCCCTTTTTCTCCATATACTCCCTTCCCCCCTTGCATCACTTCTATTTTTAAAAACTTCTCATATGCCCAACTTTTTCTCCCCTTTCTACTCTCTTTACATCATCATTCCCCCATCGCTCCTCTTCCCTCCTCACCCACTTTCCTGTAACCACAAACTTCTGCTTAACACACAACCTACATTTTTAAAACCTACCCCATACCTCTTCGACCCCATTGTCTATGCTCTCATAAGCCCATCTACCCCTCCAATAGCTGTTTATTCTTCCCCCCTAACTGCCCCCTCTTTTTAGTTTATAAACCTCCCTCCTTTTCCCTGATGCTTCTATTCTCCTTGTATCCCATTTTACCTTTTACTCCCCTGTAGCTACAACTAGAAATGATCTGTATATCTGGGGCCCCTCTAAAAACCCATTATCCTGAAGTCTACTCAACAGTCTTTATCAACCAATACAAATTCCAAAAAACCCACTGCATTTCGCCCTTTACTCAATCGTGTATACTTATTATCCTCTTTTTCTAAAAATGTTTACCTATAACTAAACCTCCTCTCCCATGCT